AGTACTGGAAATTGTTTCATTTTCTCTCTCACTTTGTTTCTGGCATAGCTGAGTTCGGAATGCCGCCCTCTCATTATGTTTAGACAGCCAAAGATACTAGCTCAGTCTGAATTTCCCAAACGTGCTACTCATGTCTCTGCGATATCCAGGAACTCGCTTTTATTTATCCAAGTAAACTTATGTGTATATTTTAAGGAATAAAATATTCATTAGGTATGTGACTTTTGTTGAAGTTTTTGACTCATTCTCACTGACTATGATCATAGCTATTTAATTATTTTAACATTGATGCTTTGGTACATTCTTTAATTGCTCCATTTATATAGCCAACAGCATAAATGTATGAAGATCATTTCTGTTAAAATAAAAACAGCATCACAGAGATAATAAAGTTTTCACATTACCTCAAATAGTACAAAAATACAAAAATAGAAGCAATGCTTTCCTTGACTATCTTATGAACTTATTTTCTGATGTCCTTTTAATATCTCTAGCTTCTTTTGGTTAGGTCATTATATAGCCAGTACTTACAGTTTGATTTTTAAAAGCTCTTTAAATACATTAAGACAGTTTCATGAAACTTAATCTCTCTCTCCAACTAGAGGGAGAAGGTTAACGTAACCACTGGTGAAATAATAGAAAATATTCACAGATTTATTAGGTTCAAGGTGTTCCTAATCTGGCCATTTAAAAACTATAGCGGGGGCGCCTGGGTGGCTCAGTCGGTTAAGCATCAGACTTCAGCTCAGGTCATGATCTCAGGGTCCTGGGATGGAGCCCCGTGTTGGGCTCCGTGCTCAGTGGGGAGTCTGCTTGGGATTTTTCCCTTTCCCCCTCTCTCTCTGCCCCTCTCCCTGCTTGTGCTCTCTGTCTCTGTCTCTCTCAAATAAATAAATAAATAAATAAATAAATAAATAAATAAAATCTTAAAAAAAAAAAAAAGACCGTAGATGTATGTTTCACAACCTTTTATCTGCATCCGATGTATCAGGTAATCTTCATGGCTGGAGAACAGAGACTGAAATTACACATGGACTTAATGTCATCTCTGCCAGTAAATTACATATATCACTTTGCCTTAAAACCTATTGTCTGGAATTAGTCACAGAGCCCTGTCCACTTGCAAGCAGGTGGAAAAGTGAAATCCAGCCATGTATCTAGAAGGAGAGAAGAACTGCATATGGGTAAACAACAAACCTTTCTAACAATAATTCCTCTTATTAGTACTCCCTAGTAGATGGAAAATAAATTGTCATTTTAAACTACATAGAAGCAATTTTAAAGCAGCAAAGTGTTGCACGTATTAAATCACTTTGCAATGCAAACGTATCCAATAATATATATCCAAGTTGGTGTTATGCCCCTGCAAGGGAATGCATGTGTATTACACCTTGGGATAGGTTTTGATAATTCCTTCTTGAAAATTGTGTGTGGATTCAGTCAAGTAATACATACCCATCGGTTTTAACTTCATAGCTTCTTGATCAAAGATAGAATGATTCACTTCATAAGTTGCCTATGTTTGAGGCCCAACTCCGAATTTTATTTACATTAAAGTGCGTGTATTTCATTTAGTTCTTCAAAAATATGCAAAACTATTTAATGCAGGCTCTCAGGAAAATTCACGCAAGTATATTCTTAGAAACGTGTTAACAATTTAATCACAGAATGTGCAGTGGGTTGCTCTGAATGCCTACTTGAAGGGATAATATGTTTGAAAGTATAACGTCAGTTCCAATTTTTTATTTAGAACTTTCTTTATTTCCTTAACTTCATAACTGTATTTATCTAAGAAGTTAGTGCAGGAGGATATTTAGGAAATCAGCACAATTTAAAACCCCTGTACAGAAGCCAAGCTGATTGGCACTGCACATCGTTTTATTCTGCATGGGCAGCAGTTTTGTATTTCTTTAATATTTGTAATAAAAACAAAGCTACAGGAAAAGCCAGGAATTAAATATAAAAGTTTTGAAAGGCACATCCTCATCACAAAAAAAGTGACGTGGAAGGAACACAAACCATGAAAACTGATTACTTCACATTATCACCAGTTGAGTTTTTCTAACACGGGAAGACTAGCTAAAGGCAGATGATGAGCATATAAGGAAGTAGACTGTCTTCCTGGCCTACATTACTCACAGGCAATTTGTAAATCCTGTTAACCCTTACATTTACTTCAGATTTTCCATACCCATGTGGGATTTTCAAGACCACCTGTGTAGTATCAACTTTGAACTTCTATCCCACTCTCATTTTATTCCTCAGAGGCGTGCTCTCAGATTAAGTTACTGTAACTAACAACAACAAAAAATGCCACTCATTCCAATGACAATCAAGAACCTGCACAAGCTAACATCACATTAATGTAGCACAGTCTGGCCACTCTCATTTTCTCTCAAAATTATTTGTCATTGCTGAACCAGGTAACCTTTCCAGGAGAATAAATTATTTTAGGAAGGTGAGTCTCATGTTTTGTTCCTTTCTTTAAGATTTATTTATTTATTTTAGAGAGAGGGAGAGAGAGTGTATGAGCAGGGTGAGGGGCAGAGGGAGAGGGAGGAAGGAAGAGGGAGAGAGAGAGAATCTCAAGCAGACTGCCTGCTGACGGGGAGCCTTCTGCGGAGTTCCATCTCATGATCTGATCTGGAGATTGTGACCTGAGCTGAAATCAAAAGTCGGATGTTCAACTGACTGAGCCACCCAGGTGCCTCAAGTCAGGTTTTTAAATTTATATAAAGAACCTCAGGATTTAATAAGGTAAGATGTTGCTTTAGAAATCTTTGCTAGTGACCTCCCAGGATGCCAGCCCATCTTTAACGAGGGCTAGTGCCACACCCTAAGCCACCAGTCCTGGGCACAGGTGTCCCAATGTTATTAGTACAGATATTATGTAGCATGAGAGATGTTCTAGTCCATGCTCTAGAAATTTGTTTAATGTTAACATCTTCTGAGACCATGGTCATGTTCCTGGGATTTCCCTGATAGAGAATTTTTTAATCTATCTGCTGTTAGCCACTCAAAGATCCTCAGTCAATTCACCAAAGATCTTCTGAAAAACGAGAAGGGTGTCAATGAGGTTCTTTGGGGAACGTGTCTTGTTCAGTCATGAGTCCCTGGAAACCCTGAGACCCTTTGCTAAAAGGTATTCAAAGTATAAGATAGATTACTACTGTACTTGAAGAATGACTATATTAAGTACAAAGTACTTTGCAGAAAGATACTACCGAGAAGAGAGCTTTTCACCATTCTGTTTTTCTTGCTCACTTTCATCCAAACAAGTTTTACCAGACTGCTTCTTGTGTTGCTAAGGTCTGCAAAGTTCGTAATTCTTCTTTACATGTGTGATGGTCAGTGTGCTGTGTCAACTGGGCTAGGCTACCGTCCCCGGGATTCAAGCAAACACTAATAGAGGTGTTGCCATGGAAATATTTTGTACATGGGATGTAACTATAATCAATTGAGTTTAGGAAGGGAGATTATCCTAGATAATCTTGGTGGACCCGATTCAATGCGTTGAAAAGCCTTGAGTGGAACTGAGGCTTCCCTGAAGAAGCAATTTCCTCTTGTGGACAGCAACTTTCCTCTGTGCCCAAATGTTCCAGCCCACCCTTCCTGATGATCTGCCCTACGGAGTTTGGACTCATCTAGTTGGTCTCCACAATACATTTCTTAATATACATCTCCTACTGGTTCTGCTTCTCTCCTTGAACCCCAATTGGTACAAGGGGTAACATACCCAGGAAGGCCCACACCAGCATTTGGACTAGATCTTAGGCTCCTCAGAAAAACCTCACTCTACACACTGGGAGCCCTGCATTGTGAGAAGTTTCTGTTATTAATAGTTCACAAAGCTGCTATTTATAGACTGAACAGCTACACAGAAATATCAGGCACTGACTTGCTCCCTTCTGACCGTGTAAGGCTGGAGGCAAACAAGAGGACAAGGACAATCTTTTTGAACTGGTCTAGGCATTCGATGGCAGCAAACATCTCCATTTAAACCTGAAAGACAGCACTGTAACCGCTGTGACATACTTCGCCTTTTCATAGCTTGACAAATCTAGAGTCTGTACCCTTTCCCAAGGGGAGAGGAGTTTGCCTGCTTAATTATAAGGCAAATCAAAGCCCTTATTAGTTTATTGTAGAGTCTGCAACAAGAGAAAATATTTCATCAGATTTTTGTACTCTACTTCTTAAAAAAGCTCTCAAAATTTTCATCAGCAGTATCACGGTATATTATCAAATTTTAGCTTTTGGAATAACCTGAAACATTGCAGATGATCAACACGCGATGCATTCCATGTGCCTGATCACCGGCCAGAATGCCTGAGCTGTGTATGAACAGCATTAGGGGCTCAGTTTTCCAGATGGGGAGATGAGAAGAATATGGCTGCCGCATCACAATATTTCATTTGAAGGCATTATTATATCTTACTCAAGTTTGAATTTTCTTTATAATCTTTTTCAAGAGATAAATGAGTTTTGCCAAATCAATCATTATGCTTCTTTTTCTAAGACGATAATCATTATTTGACCATCATTTCTTCTGTGAGTTTTGGGTACCAGGAAATTTCAGAATAAAATTCAGCTTCTGAATATGCCTATCTATCAGTTCAGATTTATTCTATCATTGTATTTTATAGTCCCCTTTTTGGTTTTAAATGTCCTCTTCATTTTAAGGGTCACAAAAGCAGAGCCTGAGTCCTGTACTTAGGCTCAGGCATCTGTTAGGGAGTCATTCCCGGAAGGAAGAGGGAGGGAACAGGGCCAAGAGGAGAGCGTGATGAATAGCCGGAGCCTTCACAGCATCACCGTGGTGGGCAGTGGGGCTCAGTATATTCACACCCTTAGGAGTATAGAGCATGCTCCCCAAAGTGCCCTGAAGGATGAGATTGGCGCCTTTATCCCGTGAAAGAAACTCACAAATAAAGTAGACTTATCACTTAGGTAATACACCAGCTCCTATCCACACTGATGGAGCCTCCTGGGTTATTTTGCAGTGGCCAAGGCTTCAGAAGAGGCACTTAGCCTTGAGGCAGGATACTCCACGTGCCAGGTAAGTCTGACTCCGCCCTGCTGCTGAACTCAGGTAGGCTGGGGAGACCGACGCAGGGCCTCAGTCATATCATGTGTGTGCCTTTTGGTACAGCACTTCCTGGTGAGGAGAAAAAACAATTCAGACACACACCTGTACAAACACACACACGCGTCACGTCCTTACTTACAAGTACCCGCTGCAAGCTTTCCCTTATTGTGGGAGTACCAACTTGAGTTTGGGTCTATAATTCTAAAGAAGAGGAAGGAATGAGTTGAAGGAGACGTTTTTTTTTGTTTTTTTTTTTAAAGATTTTATTTATTTATTTGAGAGAGAGAATGAGAGAGAGCACATGAGAGGGGGGAGGGCCAGAGGGAGAAGCAGACTCCCTGCTGAGCAGGGAGCCCGATGCGGGACTCGATCCAGGGACTCCAGGATCATGACCTGAGCCGAAGGCAGTCGCTTAACCAACTGAGCCACCCAGGCGCCCGAAGGAGACGTTTTTATAAACAAAGTAAAATAAATGCACGGAAAAGTGTCTGGACACACGTACTGCCTTGGAATGAAATTTACATTCTCTGAAAAGGCTTTACATGAATTAGCTAAAAACATTGCTTCCTATTTCATGGAGGTAACAGAAGCAATCACCAGATTTCCTTTGAAATCCTTCTCCCACCAACAATCTACGCACTCACAGGCTTGTGTGAGCACATACCCTGCCTTCCCTCTCAGGACATTGAGGAACTGTCTGTTCTTGCGTACAGGACAAACCTACCCCTTGCCGTCCATTCTCTTCCACCCACTCTACTGCACTTCCCTCTCTCTGAATCATTACTCTTCAATTAAAAAAAAAAAAAAAAGGCATCCAGACTTTCCACTAAAGGGAACACCAAAACAAATAAACCTTGGCTTGCTTTCACCCCTGCACTCACTGCTTAGTGTCTCTGTTTCTCCTTACTACGAAATTTCTTAAATGATTTATACACGCTTCCTGTCTGCAGTTTTCTCCTCTTTCTTCCTTGAATCCCTGCCAGTTACCCAGCCACAACCACTCCTTTAAAATGGCCTCCATGTTACTAAGGGCAGCTTCCCAGTTCTCACCTCATGCTGGCTTTCCTCAGGTTGGACACCGGGAATCCCTGCTTCCTACCACTCAGCTCCCAAGGCACCACCACCCTCTCTTACTTTTCCTCCTACCTCATTGGCCACTCCTTTTCTGAGGGCACACTCCCACCTTTTTAAGGTGAGAGGAGCTGACTGAAAACAACTACAGAACTTAAACACTTCCACGAAAAGCTAGTTAAAGGAGTAAACAGAGAGAGAATATGGGATCTGGGACAGTTGACAGCAGGGGGCTCTTTATGTGGTGGGAAAGGCGTACTTCCAGATCTCTGCAAGGTAGATGACAAACTTAACTCTCAGCCTTCCTTAAATGCAGGGACACTGCATTCCTAAAGATGCCCAGGGAATAAGGAGGACAAGTAGATTAAAATAACAACAACAGTAATAATAGCAATTTAAAAATGCATATTTACTATATAATACAATTAATTAATATAAATCCTTTATATAACCAATATATGTATGAATATGTAAGAAGCCAACAAAAATTTCTTAAAACTCTTCTCTGGCCTTCTCTTGTAAATTTCTCTGGTACATTTTTGGCATGCATCTGATAGAAGTCTAAAAGACAACTTGCCTATAATCACTGAAGAAGGTGTGCATGCTTATTGGGAGAGGAAATTACATATTACAGAAGTTAAGGCCATCAGTAAGTAAGTAAGACTTTGAGGAATTTAATGAAGTAGTCAGAGGTGCAGGACAGGAAGAAATAAATCTATGTGTCTATTCAGATAGAAAAAAAAAATAGTGTCAGAGACCCTAATGAGAAGACTGAAGTGCTCAGAGCAAAAAGTATCTTGCATCTCGACAAACTGCCTGGCACAGTGAAGGAAGAATATCTGAACAATGCTCTGGAGAAGGAAGGATGAACTTCCCATAAATGAAATGTATTTGCCACAATGTATTTCAAGCTGTTTCTGTACAAAGTGTCAACAATACCTATGTATCCAGTAGGCATATTTCCATTCGATACATTCTCAGCCCACAAGTTATAAAAATTAATTGCTAGGACAGTTCCATATGGTTAGGACATCTGCTAAAAGACTTCCCCCAAGCAGATTCAGGGAAATACAATTAAAGAAAGCATGTGGAATGTTTGGAGCCCTTTTTATGAGTTCCTAGGTTAGCTAAACTTCAACAACAGCTGTCGGAATCAGGTAAAACATTGACAAATGATATTCACATTCACCCACTGACCAGCAGCACAAACTGTTATTAAAATGATTCAAAGCCGCGTATTTCTGGGCAAGATTTTGCCCAGTGCAAGGAGATCTCTCTGAAGGAGACAGAAAACAACAGGAAGTATTTCAGTGCTGAGCTCAGGGTTCAGAAGAGAAGCACCTGGTTTGGTGGAAACAGCTGCCGAAGCCCCTCGGAGTGTTGCCCCCCCCCCCCCCCCCCCCCCCCCCCCCCGCCCTGTGAGCTCACCCTGGAACCAGCCGCTTCCCCTAAAGGAAGAGTCTCACTGACTTGGAATATTGAGGAAACTAGATTTGCCTTAGAGGGCAGAAGCAGTTTTCCCTCCATAGATATTCTACCAGACTACAGTTCCCAAACAAAGGTTTTTAAGCATTCTATTATAATGCTTAATTTTTAAGGACAAAGCAATCTGAGCATATCATTGATACCAAAGATAATCTCCAATGTGAGAAAATGTGTTACCATTCTTTTGTAACTACTGAAAAAACAGCACTGCATTCCAAACAAGAAAGTGTAGCATGTATAGGAAAAGTCTTGGAAAACTATTATGGGAATCATTTTTTGTAATTTGTTTTTCTAGTGATCCGCCTATCTCCTTTGACCTTTAGTTCTCAACCAAATGTTGGACTTGCTTTTTGCCAAGGCATGGAAATGATTTGTGTTTTCAATTTAATGTCCATTCACACTGCTTAGTCTAAAAACTCTAAACAAATATAGATTTTAGGTAGTTATATTCATAAACATTTTCTTGTAAATGGGCTATACATGTCATAAGAGAAACAAAGTATCGCAGAATGGGGGGAAGGGGACAGAAGAAGGGAAATTGCTCCATCAATCACCCTTCCATACTATCCAGAGAGGATGTAATGATTGGTTATAGAAACATGAGAGATTTCTATCTAGCACTTGCCTAAATCAGTGTGATGGGTGTGTTTCTTAAGACTGGTAGTGGATAGAGACAGTGCTTGAGGGAGCTCTTTGTCACTGTGGGATGCACACCATGTTTCTACTACTATACTTAAGCCAGCACCAGACCTGAATAACCAGGTTTTTCTTTGTTCCCTTTGCATTTTCCCCCCTGATCGTTGTACTCTGTCTTTGATGCTACCACACCTCATAGCAAGCATTAGAGAGACTGAGAAACAAGTGTGAGGACATGGAGAATGAGACATAATATTTCCTTACAGAGAATTATTTTCTTAAATAATTAATCCCACAGAGTGGCCTTCCTGAGTCCTTGATGCATTGCAGAAATACCCCCTTGGATAGTGTATAGTCATATATTTATATTTATATATATATATATGTATATATATATATATTTCTGGATTCAGTTTGCTTTTCGTTGTTCATTTTTTGGGGTTTTTGTTCATGTAGTGTTGTCTGTAGTATTCTTTTCTTGTGATGTCTTTGTTCTGCTCTAATACAGTAAAACTGGCCTCAGAGGATGATTTGGGAGCTCATTCTATTTTCTTTATTTTAACCTCTTCTTTAAAAAAAAAAAAGAATTTGTGTTGAGTTTGGTATTATTTCTTCCTTAAATGCTTGGTAGAATTGACCAGTGAAGCCATCTAAACCTATTGTTGATGATGATGATGATGATATTTTTTATTACTCATTCTTTGAGCAGCACAGCTGGTAAACCCCATCCTTCCTTGGCCCTCAGATTCTGCAGGGAGCTTATGATTATAAAAATAAAAACAGCTATTAACTCATTTAACCCTCACAATAACACTGTGAGGCAAGTTATTTTTATTACCCTTAATTTATAGATGAAGAACAGAGAGGTTAAGCAACTAAGTTAAGTTCACACAACTGGTAAGTGGTGAAGCCAGGATTCAAACCCAGGCAGATGGGTTCCTGTGCTCATTATCTTACCCAAAAAAAGTTGAAAATAATGTTCTTGTAAATATTTTGTCCTTCCTTCCTTCCTTCCCTCCTTCCTTCCCTCCCTCCTTCCTTCCTTCCTTCCTTCCTTCCTTCCTTCCTTCCTTCCTTCCTTCCTTCCTTCCTTCCTCCCTTCCTCCCTCCCTCCCATCCTCCCTCCCTCCCTCTTTCCCTTCCTCCCTCCCTTACTCTTTCTCTCTTTTTCTCTCTTTTTCATCCTAACAGGCTTTATTAACTAGCTTCACTACCTAGTCACACTTCAGAATCCATCTCTTGGCAGATGCATGGAAACAAATTTCTTTATAGAATATGAATTTTCTTTTATTATTTACTGGTTGAGGTGGCTTGAATGGACCTCTGCCTCATAATCCTTTAAAAAGTAAGTAATAATGCAAATAAATTGCCAGCTGGATTTTCTAAGGATCCATCTATGCTTTTGTCCAAGTATAATTTTTATCTGACCTCTGAAGAGTTTTTATTTAAAATGTGACAAATCCACTTTATTTAGTAAAAATTATGACTAAATATCTATTAAGTCATTACATAGGTTAATCAGCAAAAATTCTAATGTTAGACTTACTTTGGGGCCCAAGAAAAATACTGGTAGATCTCCATTCTCTTTCCCCTTTCTTCCACACCACAAATGACATTTCATGTCTGCTACTCAGGGTGAGTTTCCACACTCAGGATGCCTACAGATGGAGATCTTCCATATGGGTTTTCCTAATGTGGGGCCTGCTTCCTATTCTCTGTCTTCTGCCTTTGAGATCATGTGGGACAGAGAGTTACAGAGATGAGCTGCGTCCTGGATG